TACCCACGGACATCATAGTAATTGTGAAAGTTTACCCCCGCACAACATAGTAGTTGTGAAAGCGTACCCCCGCACATCAAAGTGGTTGTGAAAGCATACTCCCAGACATCATAGTAGTTGTGAAAGTGTATCCCGGGCATCTTTAAACAGAATTAAGTTGGTTAGCTGTCAGACCCATCGACCGCACAATCACATTCCCCTTCCTGACAGCTGTGTACTGTATATATTATATGGATGACGATTCATGTTTCTGGTCATACGATGTGCAAGCATTCCCTCTGGAACTGCTGTAGTCACGTCACCACCAATGGTTTCACAGGTCCTCTTCAGATCATTACCAAAACATCTCCCATGTCATGATCTACAAATACACCGGCTGCCTTTCAATCATCAAATTCTGATCATATCGACATCCGGCGTTGGTGGCGAAATTCCCCACGAGACTAGAACGTTTTGACATCATTCTTTCTAATCAAAATACTGATGTCGTGTACCATGTCTCTGTCCAAAGAAACTTCATATTAAGCTTAACCCCGGGATTCACCCATATGTTTTTTAATTGTTCCGTCCTGCTAGAAGGCCACGTTGTTGTTCTCTATATTGGCGGAATATGCAGATCTGTCCACATCTATATCTGCGGTATTGACGGGGTTGGATGCAGCAAGGAATTTAAACTTACAAAAATGTCTGCATTTAGTGTGATCGCAAAACCCGAGGTAAACTGAATAACGGATAGCCTTTTCCTGTTTTTGAATGACAAAATGACAACTTCATTTGAAAGCATAGAGATGACATGTTTCACTGCTGTTACCTCTGCCTTTGTAATGAAGCTTATCAACCACCAGTTTCCTAGATTCGATCTTAGTTTCATTTGATCGTGCTTGGTACATTTCTCTCATACACAGTTACAGATAGGTGTATTTGGTTACCTCAGTGCTATCATAATCAGATCCTCATGTATGACCTTATGTACGCTCTCTGCTTGAGAGATTCCTTCCATCAAAAATGTCAGCTTCCATCGCCTGGTTGCTTTCACTCTAGTTTTCATAACATTGATGGGATGGTGAATCGATCACCTTTTTCTCAGCCATAATACGCATTTACAGTCATAACTCCATGGTTTTTCCGTTTTATTTTAATCGGTAATACTAATCAATCACTTTTATCATATCGCAGGGAGTGTCTAACATGCGTGTAAGCAGGTTCCAGACAATTTTTATGTTCGATAAACATCCCCGGAGTCGTAATTAATATTCACAATTTCAAAGATTGAAACGAAATGTGATAACGACCAAACACCATTGGAATTTCATCACATTAGTCGTCTCTAGGGCAGGAATTGTGTCCAATAAAAAAGAACGCTGATGTTTTTGTCGTGTCAGACAACACCATCTTTATACTTTTAATCAAAATCGGACACAATGTAAATTTAATCCAACCAGAGGCTGGTATTGCAGTTGATTCGATATACAAGAGTTTGTTGTTCTCGATATCACAACTTTCGAAAACAAGATGTCAGCAACAGATAAACAAACTCACGTCAGGGTTGTGACAAATACAGGCTGATGAAGATTATGGTGAAACTGTAGAGTCATAATGATCTCATTAAAAATGTTTCATTTGTTTGTGCAATATCGAGCCGGACGTGTCTGATGCTCGTTAGTTTGCCTGGTGGTTCCGTTGATATTGCATTGTGTTTATTAGGAATGAGAAATCACTTACTTGGACTAAGATTAATACTTTTCTGTAATGCATGTTATAGGTTGCTCTAGTTTTATTGAATTTGAGTTATAACTTTTTTTTCTTTTTCCCTACTTACTCTATGAATGTATTATAAATGTTCACCGACCGGATTTTATGAGCAACTAGTACCCTTTTTGATATAATTGCTCAGATTAATGTTGTAAAATAGATCCATTTAGATAATTATTTGTTAAGCTTCTAGGTGTACTTGAAGCTGATAGCATTATCGTACCATATGGTTATTGTAACTAATATAAAAAAGTTTTAAATTAGAGCATGTTGTCACTAATTATCCTGTTTGGAATGCGCAGAAAATATATCTTTTTATGAAATGTCCTTCCGGTTTACAATGCAAGTTGTCATACACAGAACCTTTTATTGACATCCTCACGCTTATCAACGTGTACTTCTTATTTAACATCGTATTAACTCTAAGGCGATCAATGTATGTCGATGTGTTTGTGTTCGATTTAGGGAATTTAGCTTGAATATCTTCAGGGATCGGAAGAAAGCTTTTCAACGAAATGCATAACTATACATATGTATTATATATGAAGACATCTTTGAAATATTAATTTCGGTATGATATTAATAATAGTAATAATAATGAGTATTGGCTTAATTTATTCTTGATAACATATCAACAATACGCTCAACTTACATGTGGTCGAGAGCATAATATACAATATTAAGAAATAAAATTACAAAGTACATAACACAAGCAAGTAAAACACAACAACACGGACAGGGAGATATTCTACATAAAATGTATTTTTTTGCAGATGTCATGAGCCATTCATCGTTAAACATTTTTTATTGGACTGCATTGACCTTCTGTCTACGCGAGAATGTTTTTATCATAACACTACATGTCCAAAAACCCTTTTTGAAACTGTTGAGATTTGTCAAATTCTACATTACCTAGAGATGTTGGTCTATATAATAGACTATGACGTACCATTGTAATATTTTGTGTGAATATACCCATAAGATTTTTAACATTTGTCTTTAACCTTTCGGTTTGTATAATGTTGTTTCCTTTTGGATCGCTGTGTGTTTTACCGGTTGATGGCCCTAATGACCTTTTTGTGTTGACGGGCCGTTAAGAATGCATGATAATATTAAATTATGTAATCTGCATTAAATTATTTAAAAGAATGGTCATATTATTACTTTATGCAAACACTGATATGTTCATGAAACTTTGGAAGAAATTGCATCACATGGGAGTTTTTATAGTATGTGTTGTGAAATTCCACGAATCGAATTGAATTGTTGCCTACAGGTGAAAGTGGCAAACGGGAAGTTGCACAAAACAACCTTTCGATGAAATGGCTTGCACTGGGCGAGATCACCCAGCTCTCAAACATATTTGTTTTTTTTTTTTTTTTTTTGGAAAAATCTTAATATTCTTTAACATGTAAGCTGTCAAGAAACTCACAAGCATCCAAATGCGTATATGTTTCACTATACATACACACGTGACCATATAAAGTATATACACCGGACCCATATACGTCTTGTATATTAACATGCAAAAATAGGTCATTCGATAACTGAATTATTTGATTTACATATACAAAATGCAAGAATCAAATTATACTTCTAATGATTATCATATGTTTTATGTTAATCTCAAATAGAACATATACATTTGTACGGTATTCATACAAAAAAAGTACCACATGTAACACACAAACGTACTTTCGTCTTGTCCTTTTCATTGAATACGCCAATCTGTATATAACAATGTGTAAACTATCCAGCGAAAACTAATGGGATATCATCATATTGATAAATTAACAGTGACAACGAAAGAAACATGAAAGGAAAATTAGAAATAAACGGAAATGATATTTTATCGTGCAAATGTAATCACACTTCGTTTTTTAAATTAGGTGCAAAGGTACAGTGTAGCTGGTCAAATATACTCGTTATTCATAATCACACCCATATCATTTCACTGACGATTTTCATTCATAGAAATTCTATTATTTGGAGTTGTATATTAAGGGACTACACGGTTTGCGCTACCAGAAAAAAAAATGTTGGGAGGTAGATCGAAGACTTGTATACCTGCTTGTTACCATTAATAAGAAATAGTATTTATTTTCTATGTTAGAAATATTATTTATTTTACATAAGTTAGAAATAATGCAGTATTTGTGCACGCAGCGCTCCCGGATACATACAAAAAAAAAATCAACGATTTGGTCGATGTGAACCACGTTTCCTGTCTACACCAAACCACACTTTCGGTGTTTCTTAACAAAGGATTCACTAAAACGTGGACTATTGAAGACAGACCGAATACAGAACATCTCTGATTATGAAAAATAACGTCTCTCACTTGGCTGATAATACTTTCAGATAGGGCGGAAACATGTACCTGCTTTCCAATTGCATGATCTTAGGAAGCGACTAACGTTTGGATCTTATCGCTTATTTCAAATGTCCATCCTGAAACCGCCTGTTCTTTGGATTTTAGTTGAGTGTTCATCCCATTTCGAATGCATTTGGGTTTTTTTCTCCATTTTGTACAGTGTAACGACTGAAGCACTCGATTTCAGTATAATGTAATCTGGTTATGTGTCTTGCTCCACTATCCCCAAAAAGTTGTACACCAACATATCCCAGCCAACCACAACCACACGTACTCCTCACCTGTACTCACCTCGCATATATAGGACGGCCGTCCTCAAAGGACAATAGCTTCTGATGAGGACGACAAACAATATATAACCAACCCATTCTATGTGGCTGTAGTGATTAAAAGCGGCATCATTATGAGATTACGACGTAACAATGGATTACTGCGAAACACATCCACATTTAGTCATAATTACAAAATCATTGAAAGATTGTTATTTGATTGATAACATGGTAATGATTCTAAAACCTGTTAACGATAAATGTGGTTGATCTGAAATTTCAAAACAACTACCCAAGGTCTGGTTGATAGAAAATAAGTGTCTCTTCAAAGCTGTCTGTGACTAATCAACAAATCTTCATGTCTGCTTTTACGTTTTCCTGTCGCAAATGTTCCTATGGTGACGCCCCCAACCTGTCATTGACGTTCGCTTTACATCAGCAATTAGCAAGGTGTTGTTTTACAGTATGCCCATATCATGTGCGCAGTCATTACTCACGTTTTACTTTTTACATGTTTACCACCGTTTGTTTTTGTTTTTCCCTTTCCTCCATTGAGGTCAAACAGCGGGCTAAGGTAAAGGTCGCATCTTATTTACATTTATGCGTACGTGTATGTTTATACAGAAGAACTGCGAACAAGTATGTATATTCAAATTTAAACAATGCTCTATTCGCCTCGAACTTCATGTGGTAAGTAGTCATTACTTGTGCTGTTAAACTGAAATAACATTTTTGAAATTTTGATAGTAATATGAGATAAAGGTAATGTAAGTGTAACGTTATGGATCAGTATTACAACTCATGGCTAAAGACTGCATTCATAGTAAACCGAACCATTATCCTGTCACTGATATCAGCTTTTCAACAAGCATTTTTGAAACCATTATGACAATATAAACATGACCACAAAATAGAAATCAAAAGCCAGAATCCATGAAACGACGGTAAACTATTAACAACATCATAATTTACACGATAAACCTTTAAATTATAGCATTAATAGAATCAGGTATTTCACAAAAGTTGGCAGTTTTCTAAAGATATTGTATTGCTATATACAAGAAGTAATTGGTTATACTCAACGTAAACGTACAGAGATTTAAATATCCTTGTTATGGTTCTTATCAGTAAATGAGATGTAAATAAGTACTGTTGTTTTACGTTATCAGTTGGGCAGTATGATACATGTATGTTAGCATTGATCAGTCATCCGGGAAGTGAAGACAGAGACGATTGATTATCAAGATAAATCTTTATTTACAATTCATGAGGTAATGATTACATAACTATCGACGTAAAACTCTATGCTCTCCTAACTCTCTTGGGTCACAAATCGTTTTTTCAAGTTTTAATATATCGAAATTGTATACGTAATTAAGCGATCAAAATTCCTATTTGTAATGAACAAGATGGTGGAGGACAATTCCATTCAAATACACACACACACACACACACATATATATATATATATCTAATACATGTAGTACGGGTCAGTTACGTGATGAAATACTATACCTATGACATTACTACAGGTGTACATGTATATGTGACGTCATGAAATAATGACAACATAGATACAATAAATGAAAATCACCGTGGCATATCAATAAAGTAATATTTAACGAGTTATTGACAAATGTCAAATAACTGTTATTATACATCTATACGTATAACTGAATTAATCTTTTCAAATGATATTCCAAAAGAATGCTTACTCAGGAGATTTTTTTTCTTTCAGCAGTAGCGTACAACAAATAGTTACCCAGTCTGTTTAAAGATTTAACACTTTTACAGGTCAATAATTCTATCAGTTTGTAAACACCTAGACGTCTATAAAAGTACTTTTTATTGTACGTCTTTCTTAAATCAGAATATGCTGGACAAAGTAGTACAAAATGTACATCTTCGACTTCATTTTTATTACACAGTGTGCATACTCTCTGCGGTCTTGGTATTTTATTATAGCGCCTAGATTCTATGTGTCATTGCATGCAAAATTGACTCAATATTTTTTTTAACTTTAAAATAATTGGCTTTGTCAGAGAGAACTGGGTACAAAAGGTATCAACAAGGTGCTTATAAAAGTAACGTTTGGAAGATGCATCAAAGGCACTGCGTATTATTGAATAGATACATCATGGACACGGCGAGCATACGAATGCAAAAAATATTTTTCATTTTGTATATATTGGCTATTCTAAACACAGTTAATACTCAAACTACACAGTTCATGCTTAATTTGATAAACCCAGTTAATTTTACAATTAGATTATTCTGATATTCAGTTCGACTAATGCCGTTTCAAACTCAATTACTAGTATTTTAATTTTTAACAAGTAATTCATTATGTTAAGCTGCACATATAATGAATATCTTTCTGGTTCAAAGAAAACCATCGAAGTCTTGAATATTTGCTTAAAATTTAATAGAACTTTGAGAAGGCACGAGATACAGATCTCTTACCACATCTTTCACCCGCCTTAGCTGGCTCTTGTATACCTCGTGTTGGTTTGGTCGGTCTTGACGCTCAAAGGGATCGAGTTGATGCTGGGTTTCACTGTCTAGATGCAGACACCGTACCATTATGCAAAGCAGTCTGTCATCTCTGCCTGATTCACATGATGAGAAACCAAGACATTTGCATATGGGGTATACGAATTGAATCATAAAGTGTATATCAGTATTAGAACAAGTGTCACCTCGTGCACATTTCATACCAATAATGTGTATCAGCCCAGCGGTACCGACTTTTAAGGTTGCTTACCCTGTAAGCACATAATTAAATAAAACGTTTTTAAATATACAAAATATACAGGCTTGCATGACAATGTATATTGCTATTATCATATTATGACAGAGAAACATGATGGTTGTGTAATGGCGGTGTTACGGCAAATGTCGATTACAGCTCAATATAATCCACACGTGGAAAACTAGAGGATTCAATAAAGATTAGAGAAGTAGAGTAGGGAAATGCATCCAAATGCTGCCGAAGTGCAAATTTATGTCATTGATGGGTGTCACAATCAAAATGCAATGATAAACATGTGACCGGTATAATGATATGCAGCGACCTACCCCCTCGGCCCCCCCCCACCCCCTGTAAAATGTCGGATCGTCCGTCAACATTGACCACAAGCTTGAGTCCAATCCCAACTAGTATCGTCCATAATAACCTTCTTTTCAAATAAACCGAAGGAGACGCGTTATGTTTCAGATAAAATAGAGGATTTGTTGTACAAAAGACACACAAGTGAAAACACATTTTAATGCAAGTTTAGAGTTGGATACAGTAGAGCTAGACAATGATTTAGACTTTATCACACAGCTTTTTCCTTTTAGAACTCGTCAGTGATAAATTTTGAAACCTACGGAACATTACTGTAGGTTTGTTTGTGTGAAGTGCTGATTTCAAAAGACCTCCTACCTTACTCCATAAAACACTTCTACATTTTTTTACTGATGGTTTAAAAGATAATAATCAAGTTGTCGCTTCCATGGTTACACAAGATGAAACCTATGGATGCCGTATAGCGAACAACGCCTCGATATTCTCGGCGGAAGCGCGAGCTATCTACCTCGTCCTTGAATATATTCAAACATTTAAAGTAATATGAGTTATTATCCATTCAGAATCTCTTTCTGTTCTACAAAGTCTTAACAATAGAAATATATAAAATATTTTCATTCATAATACATTGATACTATATCATGAACTTGCCTTTCGTATGGGAATACCAGGCAATGAAAAAAGCTGATTGTGCCGCAAAGGCAGCTTTATCGCTACTACCTAATGTTTTTAAACATCATTCTACTGATTTTAAACCGTTTATTAAACAAATGTTAACATTTCAGTGGCAGTAGGAATAGAACACATATACCAATAATAAATTGCATTCCGTCAAACCAATCATCGGTGAATGGTCTCCATGCTATAGAGACAACCACCGAGACGTTATCCTTGCCTGTCTTCGGACGGATCATACATACCTTACACATTCATATATGTTGGAAGGCGAAGACAATCCTCGGTGCCTAGGTGTGTAATGAGCCATTCACCGTTAAACATGTTTTATTGGACTGCATTGATCTTCTGTTTACTCGATAATGTTATATCGTATCATTACAAGTTTTAAGAACTTTTTATGAAACTTTTGAGATTTGTCAAATTCTAGGTAACCTGAAAGATATTGGTCTACATAATAGACTTAGACTTGCCATTTTAATCTTTTGTGATGATATACACATTAAGATTTTTAGCATTTGTCTTTTACATTTGGTTTATTTAATGTTATTTCCTTTAGGATCGCTGTGTGTTTGACAGGTTGATTGCCCTAATGACCTTTTATATGTTGACGGGCCGTTTAGCATGTCGTTATGATAATAATAATAATAATAATAATAATAATAACATTACTCCATGAATTTGAAGGACTACGGAAATATTGTACAAAAGACACACAAGTGAATAGCGCCTTTTCATAATCTAGAGTTAGATACATTAGAGCAAAACAATGAATTAAACTGCATAATTCAGCTGTTTCGTCCTTCTAGGACTTGTCAATGATGATAAGGGCCTTACATGTTAAGCGCAGGAAATTAGTAAGGAAAATCCTAAACTTACATGTCAAATAGATAACATTGTATTTCCCAAGATGATCATCTATGGATACCCCCTTAAATTTCTGTGTGTACAAAATCTGACCTGATCTTCGCAGTAAGAAGATAGTCTTGGGTATATTGCAAGTGTTAATATTTGTTAAATCATCTATTAGGATGCCCTGTTAACTTCCAAGAGTTTTAGAGCATGTCAAAGGAGGATGCAATACTGTATACAACACACTCCAATCCGTCCGTCATCAGCACTGATTTTCTCTGTTAGTTCTCTGTTTAGTAGTTTTGAGCATTTTGTAGCTTTCTAATGAGAGTCAAAATATCATTATGCCATTAACGTGAGAGTACATATGTAACTCAAATGATGTCTACCAAACAATACGTATTCTTGACGGTTATTGCAGCATACGACCTAACTACATGTATTAAGAACAATAATGCATTTATTTTACTTATGTCTCCAACAGCGGTTCCATAAATTTGATTGTATAATGTCCTTTTTAGGCACGTATACCATCTGGATAAATACGCTACCTGTTGTGCCGAACCATTTCAGAAAAGAACGTTAAGCTATGAACGGCACGACATAAACTGTAGCAGGATAGCAATACTCTTAGGTGTCGTACAGTAACGCAATGACGAGACAGGTATTTACTCACAAATAAGTTCATGTCAATCACAACTGATCCGCATTCCCTCAAGAGGCAACATGAGATTTGGATGACTAGGATTCTCGGTGATAGACTTATTAGTGTTAGGTATTCATCACTCGTTAATCTCTGACGTGTGAAATTATACGATAGAAAAAGACTTACTGATACGTGATCCAGTGTTATTTCAAAACTTTGCGAATCGAAAATGACTTTCACAATCACCGATCAATTTAAATACACCTGTGATCGCGCTATATAGTCATATTTACAAGAGCTGTCCGCTTAATTTTTAATCCGTAATATTAACCAGCCATTTTAACCAAGCCGCACAAATTATGAGATACTATCGCAGAGTTGTGCACCATATAGATACTGTATGGTGCGTGTGTGCGAACGATATATGCACGATGTCCGCAAGAAGTT